CAATCAGTAAACCAAAAGGAAAAAATGATTCAAAAACAGGAAGACAGCTTAAGAGAACAGTGGGACAACTGGAAACGGAATAATTTTCGCATCATAGTAGTCCCTGAAGAAGAAGAAAATAAGCAAGGATTAGATAATATATTAAAAAAAAATAGTGACAGAAAACTTCCCTAATTTGGTGAAGGAAGAAGGCATTCAAGTTCAAGAAGCACAGAGAGCCCCAAGTAAGAAGAGCCCAAACAGGCCCACACCAAGACACATAGTAATCAAACTGCCAAAAATTAAAGACAAAGAGAGAATCCTAAAAGCAGCAAGAGATAAGCAACAGGTTACCTACAAAGGAAACCCTATAAGGCTCTCAGCTGACTTCTCACAAGAAACACTACAGGCTAGAAGGGAATGGCATGAAGTAATCAAGGTCATGAAAAACAAGGATCTGAATCCAAGACTACTCTACCCAGCAAGGCTATCATTCAAAATAGAAGGTCAAATAAAGAGTTTCCGAGACAAAAAAAGGCTAAGGGAATACATTAGCACCAAACCAGCACTGCAAGAAATGTTAAACGGACCGCTGTAATTACCAGGAGAAATGGGAAGGAAAATAAAACCACACTAAACAAAAATGGCAATAAATAAGTACATATCAATCATCACCTTAAATGTAAATGGATTGAATGCTCCCATAAAAAGACACAGAGTAGCTGATTGGATAAGAAAGCATTACTCATCTATATGTTATTTACAAGAGACCCACCTCACAACAAAAGTCTCATATAGATAGACAGTGAAGGGATGGAAAAAAATCTTCCAAGCAAACGGAAAGGAAAAAACAGCTGGGGTAGCAATACTCATATCTGATAAAATAGATTTCAGAATGAAGGCCATAATTAGAGACCAAGAAGGCCACTACATAATATTGAAAGGATCTATCCAACAAAACAATATAACCTTGATAAACATATATGCACCCAATATAGGAGCACCAAAACATGTTAAAAAACTTCTGAAGGACTTCAAAGGAGAAATCGATAGCAATACAATCACAGCAGGGGACTTCAACACCCCATTGACATCACTGGATAGATCCTCTAGACAAAAAATTAGCAAGGAAACAGAGACTCTAAATGAAGCCCTAGACCAAATGGATTTAATCGATATCTACAGAGAATTACACCCCAAAACTACAGAATTCACATTCTTCTCAAGTGCACATGGGATATTCTCAAAGATAGACCAGATGTTAGGGCACAAACTAAGTCTCTACAAATTCAAGAAGATTGAAATTATATCAAGCATCTTCTTAGATCACAACGGCATGAAACTAGAAATCAATTGCAAGAAGAACATACAAAGAAATTTGAACACATGGAAGCTAAACAGCATGTTATAAAACAATGAATGGGTCACCGAGGAGATCAAGGAAGAAATCAAAAACTTCATGGAAACCAATGAAAATGAAGACACAACAATACAAAATCTATGGGATTCAGCGAAAGCAGTTCTGAGAGGGAAGTTCATAGCACTACAGGCCTACCTAAAAAAAGAAGAAAAATCTCTAATAGATTATCTAACCTCACAACTTAAAGAACTAGAGAGCAAACAAAAAGAAAACCCCAGAGCAAGTAGAAGGAAGTAAATAGTAAAGATCAGAGCAGAAATAAATGACATAGAGACCAAATAAACAATTCAAAGGAACAATAAAACAAAGAGCTGGTTTTTCGAAAAGATAAACAAGATTGATGGACCCTTAGCTAGACTCACCATAAACAAAGAGAGAGAACCCAAATACACAAAATCAGAAATAAAGAGGAGAGATAACAAATGACACCACAGAAATACAGAAGATCATTAACAACTACTATGAACAACTAACAAATAACAACAGAAGAAATTGAAGATGTAATCAAGACTCTCCCAGCAAACAAAAGCCCAGGCCTGGATGGCTTCACGGGGGAGTTTTACCGAACATTCAAAGAAGAACTAATACCCATTCTCCTCAAACTATTTCAAAAAATTCAAGAAGAAGGAAGACTTCCAAACTCGTTTTATGAAGCCAGCATAATTCTAATCCTAAAACCAGAAAAAGGCACAACAAGGAAAGAAAACTACAGGCCAATATCGCTGGTGAACATAGATGCCAAAATCATGAACAAAATACTAGCAAATCGGATCCAGTAATACACCAAAAAAATTATCCACCATGACCAAGTGGAATTCATCCCAGGGATGCAAGGTTGGTACAATATTCGCAAATCCATCAATGTGATACACCACATAAATAAAATGAAGAATAAAAACCACATGATCATATCAATAGATACTGAAACAGCCTTTGACAAAATCCAGCATCCATTTCTGATAAAAACGCTCAGCAGTGTGGGAATAGAGGGATCATATCTAGACATAATAAAGGCCATATATGAAAGACTTACAGCCAACATCATACTCAATGGGCAGGAACTAAAAACATTTCCCTTATGAACAGTAACAAGGCAAGGATGCCCACTTTTGCCACTCTTATTTAACATAGTCCTGGAAGTCTTAGCCACAGCAATGAGACAGGAAGAAAAAAGAAAAGGGATCTAAATTGGAAAGGAGGAAGTGAAACTGTCATTAATTGCAGATGACATGACACTATACATAGAAAACCTCAAAGACTCCACCAAAAGGTTACTAGACTTAATAAATGAATTTGGCAAAGTAGCAGGATACAAAATTAACATCAAGAAATCGATGGCATTCTTATACACCAATGAAGAACTCACAGAAAGAGAAACTAAGAAAACAATCCCATTTACCATTGCAGCAAAAAGATTAAGATACCTAGGAATAAACTTAACCGAAGAAATAAAGGACCTATTCGCAGAAAACTACAGGTCAGTGAAAACAGAAATAGAGGAAGATATAAAAAAGTGGAAGCACATACCCTGTTCTTGGATTGGGAGAATTAACATCATTAAAATGTCCATATTACCCAAAGCAATCTATAGGTTCAGTGCAATCCCCATCAAAATACCAACGACATATCACAGAATTAGAACAATTATTTCAAAAGTTCATATGGAACCAAAAAAGGCCTCGAATAGCCACAGAATTCCTGAAAAGGAAGAACAAAGTTGAAGGGATCCCAATACCAGATTTCAGGTTATAGTACAAGGCCACTGTAATCAAAACAGCCTGGTACTGGCACAAGAACAGGCATATAGACCAGTGGAACAGAACAGAGAACCCAGAAATGGACCCAAGGCAATCTGTTCAATTAATATTTGACAAACGTGGCAAGAGTATACAGTGGAGTAAAGACAGCCTCTTTAATAAATGGTGCTGGGAAAATTGGACAGCTACTTGCAGAAAAATGTAACTAGACCATCAACTTACACCCTACACAAGAATAAACTCAAAATGGATAAAAGACTTAAATGTGACTCATGAATCCATAAAAGTCTTAGAAGAGACTGTAGGCAACAAAATTTAAGATATCATACACAGCAGAATTTTTACTGATACATCACCTAAGGCAATAGAAACAAAGGAGAAAATGAACACATGGGATTACATCAAACTCAAAAGCTTCTGCACAGCGAAAGATACAGTCATCAAAACGGAAAGGCTACCCACTGTATGGGACAGCATAATTGCCAATGATATATCAGATGTGAAGTTAATTTCCAATACATATAGAGTGCTCATACAACTCCACAAAAAGAAGACAAAGAATCCAATTAAAAAATGGGCAGAGGAACTAAATAGACACCTCTCCAAACAGGACATACAAATGGCTAAGAAACATATGAAGAAATGCTCATCATCACTAATCATCAGAGAGATGCAAATTAAAACAACAATGAGGTATCACCTCACACCTGTCAGAATGGCCGTCATCAACAAATCATCAAACAACAAGTGTTGGCGAGGGTGTGGAGAAAAGGGGACTCTAGTGCACTGCTGGTCGGAATGCAGACTGGTGCAGCCACTATGGAACAAAATATGGCGTTACCTCAAAAAATTTAAAATTGATCTTCCATTTGACCCAGGATCCCACTTCTAGGAATATACCCTAAGAAGCCTAAAACACCAATCAGAAAGAATATATGTACCCCCATATTTGTAGCAGTACTATTTACAATGGCTAAGATTTGGAAACAGCCCAAGTGTCCATCAGTAGACGAATGTATAAAAAAGCAGTGGTACATATATACAATGGAGTACTACACAGCTGTAAGAAAGAATGATCTCTTATCCTTTGAGACTACATGGAGAGTCCTGGAAAGTATCATCCTAAGTGAAACAAGCCACACAGAGAAAGACAAGTTCCATATGATCTCACTTTTTTGTGGAATATAATGAACATAACAGTCTGAGTAATGGGGTAGTCCCAGAGACATGGAAGTGGGGTACAGACTGACAATCCCCTAAAGAGGGGGTGGGGGGAGAGATAAACCACAGAACTTATATGCATGTATGCATGAACAGTGGACATGGACAACAAACTGGGGAAAGGGCAGGGAGGGTGGGGGAGGGGGGAATCAGTGGGGGAAAAAGGAGAAACATCTGTAACAAAAATTAATTAATAAAAAATAAATACAAAAGATAAATTAATTAATAAAAATTATGCTGTATTTAGACAACAGAAAAAAATAAAAAAATAAAGAGAAAAAATATTCATTGTTAAATATTGGTACAGGGAAAGGAAAAGGGGGGGGAGAAAAGAGAGGCAGAGAATGAGTTAGGGCAGTTCTAGGTTACAGAAGTTATCAAGAAGGAAAGGCTATCAATTAGAAAAGAAGGCTGTATAGAAGAAAATGAACAATTTATTGGATTAGACCATAACATAAATTTTAGGGATATCTGGGAGCATATTTTAAATAGGGTGGTGAGATAGGAAATCGTAATTTAAGAGAAAGGGAGAGTGTTCAAAGTAAAGCAGAACAAAGAGGAGAAGAAGAAAACAGCTAATAGGGGGTAGATTAAGGTACAGTCATTGTCAAGATTACACGTACCTGCAAGAAGTAATGGTCTTTGCATTTCTGTGTGCAGGTAATTCTTGCTAGTCACTCTGAAAACTCTACTGTGCTGTAAGCTAGCCACTTTTCTTGTTTGAAGAAAATCTCATGAGAATTGACATAAGTACCTTAGGTCAAATGACTAAGGAACTTGTTCTTAGAAAAGTGAACTTATCATCTTTCACCATCAGACCATGGTTCTGCTTTTTAAAAAATCCTCATCCAAGGATGTGTTTTTATTGATTTTCGAGAAAGAGGGGGGAGGGAGAGAGAGAGAAATAAACATTGATGTGAGAGAGACACATTGACTGGTTACCACCCGCACAATACCAATGGGGGTTGGGGACAAACTGCAGCCGAGGTACGTGCCCTTAGCAGAAACCAAACCTGGGTCTCTCTGGTTTGTGGGCCGATGCTCTAACCGCTGAGCAAAATTGGCCAGGGAAAAACTTCCTTCTTTTTAAAGGCTGAATAATATTTAATTGTAAGTGTATACCATGTGTTCTTTATTCATTCATCAGTAGGACCCACTTATTTAGAGGATAACCAAATTGCAAATAAAGTTACTAGTTACCAGAGCTAAATTTCAAGCAGTGCACACTAAAAGAGCTACATTGGTGGTTCATATTGGAACACTTTCACACTATTTGTAATAATCATGACAAGGAGGATTCCAAAATGGTGGTGGAGTGAATGGAAGCTACACAGAATATCTCCCAGAACCAAACTGGAATTACAACTAAAATAAAGACAAATCATTGTGAAAAAGCAACAGAAAAACAGCTTGTGAGGACCATATAACCAGGGACACTGAATCAATCCTGGTAGGATTGCAAAGGTGCAAGAGGGGGGCTGGGAGCCCAGGGATAGCAGCGGTGTTAGCTGTGAGCAGCGCCATCAGGGTTAAAATCCCAAGCCCACTCCTCAGCGCAGAGAGCCGGGACAGAGTGCTAAAATAGCCACAGCCACTCACTTTGGGCTCCTGTAGTTTTTTTTCTGGTGAGTTTTCTTTTTCTTTCATTTGGGTTTTGTTTGTTTGTTTCACCATTTTAGCAATATAGGCCCGGTGAGGGATGGTGGAATGTGTTGGCAGGTTGGTGTGTATCAAATAAGGCTGCTGTGCCTCCCAGACTGTTATGGTGTATGGTGCCTGTTGCCTGCTGTGGGTCGCTGGTATTGGTTTTTCAGGCAGGTCTTAGCTCCCCAAGTCTTGCTGCTGCTTGGGCTGGGGCACCACTCCTGATCAGCCTCTGCTGATGCTGGTAGGGATGATTCTAAGCTGCTGATCTGTGCTGCTGCTGCCTGGGGTGCGTGTGTCCAGCTGGTGCACTGCTGGAGTGTGTGGATTCCACTGGTACTCTGCTGGGATTTGTGGCTCCCACTGGTAGCTGCTGGGGTGTGTGGATCCAACTGGTGTGCTGCTGGGGTGCATAGGTCCCACCGGTTTTCTGCTGGGTATTCTGCTGTTTGGTGGGTCTCAGCTCCCGATCAGTCGCTTCTGGGGGCGAGTGTCAGTTTTCTGTTTGCAGTACTATTGCTGCTGCTGTTGCCAGGGAATGCTCTCAGTTTCCAATCCTCTGCTGCTGTTGGGGGCCGAGGATGCCACACTCCTGGGACATTGCTGCTGCCAGGGGGAGGGTGTCCAGTCCAAGTCCACTGCTGCAGTAGTCAGGGGCATGTCTCAGCTGCCAGAACCATGCTGCTGCTTGGGTTGGGCACTGCTCTTGATCAGCCTCTCCTATGCTGCTAGGGGATGGGTCTCAGCTGCCAATCTGAGCTGCTGCTGCCTGAAGATGGATGTCTGCTCCGAAGCCTCAGTTGCTATTGGGGGTGGGGCTCTACTGCCACCCTGTCACTACTCATTAGGGGAAGGTGATGGACTCCAATCAGGTTTCTGCTGTGGGGGATGGTGCTCAGCTCCTGGCCACTTTTGGCTACTGCAGCAGGCACCTCTATAGCGCTGCTACCGTGCACTGGTCCACGTTGACACAGCGGGGTCCACTGAACTGATGGTGCAAGGTGCTCTGGTGGACTCAGATCACTTAGCTTTAGCTGCTCCCCGCTGCCTCCTCCCAGAGAAGACCAGGGATCTTTTAAAATGGTGGGGCCTCCCAGCCATGCCGATAGATGCTTGCTGATAAGCCACTTACCATGGTAGCCAGATGCTTTCTGTCCACAGCACAGGAAACTTCTGCGTTATGTTTCTGCACTGCTCAAGGTTGGTCGTCCATACTCACATTCACTCACACTTTCTCTCACACTCACTCACCCTGTCACACACTTAGCTTCACTCCAGTCCTGCCCACTGACATCTTTCTCCTCAGATGGAAAACTCTTGATATGTCCATCGATTCTAAATGATAGTTTTGCAGGATAAAGTGATCTTGGTTGTAGGTTGTTGCTTTTCATCACCTTGAATATCTCTTGCCACTCCTTTCTGGCCTGCAAAGTTTCTTTTGAGAAATCAGCTGATAGTCTTATGGGAATTCCTTTGTAGGTAATGGATGGCTTTTCTCTTGCTGCTTTTAAGATTCTCTCTTTGTCTTTAAACTTTGGTACTTTGATGATGATGTGTCTTGGTGTGGACCTCTTTGGGTTTCTCTTGTTCAAGACTCTCTGTGCTTCCTGGACTTGTATGTCTGTTTACTTCACCAAGTTAGGGAAGTTTTCTGTCATTATTGTTTCAAATAGGTTTTCAATTTCTTGTTACCCTTCTGGCATCCCTATGATGAGAATGTTGGCATGCTTGAAGTTGTCCCAGAGGCTCCTTATACTATTCTCATTTTTTTGGATTCTTTTTTTTTTCTCTTTTGATTGAGTGTTTTGTTTTCTTATATTCCAAATTGATGGTCTTCTTCTTGGCTTTACCTACTCCACTATTGATTTCATGTAAATTTTTCTTTATTTCAGTTAGTGCATTTTTTATTTCTGACTGGTCCTTTTTTATGTTTTTGATGTTCTCACTAAGTTCCTTGGAGGTCTTCTTAAGTTTCTTGAAGGTCTCACTAAGTCCCTTGAATGTCTCACCAAGTTCCTTGAGCAACCTTATAACCAGTGTTTTCAATTCTGCATCTGACTGATTGCTTCTCTTCATTTTGTTTAATTCTTTTCCTGGAGTTCTGGTTTTTTCTTTCATTTGGGACATGTTTCTTTGTCTTCTTATTTTAGCTACTTTCCTGTGTTTGTTTCTAGGTATTAAGTAGAGTTGCTATGTCTCCTAGGCTTTGTACGGTGGCCTATTGTTGTAGGTGTCCTGTAGGATTCAGTGGCACAGCCTCCCTAATCATCCCAGTTGGGCACTCGAGGTACACTTTTTGTGTGAACTTTACACCCTTCTGTTGTAATTGAGTCTTGATTGCTGTTGGCATATCAATGAGAGGGATTTATTTAGGCTAATCAACTCTAAGGACTCGCTGTGCCCACTGATGACTGGCCTCTGACTACCTTGGAGGATCAACTATATAGCAGCCCACCACACAGAGCAAGACTTAATTCCTCAGGGCTCTGGTATTCACTGAGTCTGCTCATTGAGTGTGTCACTTGTGGAGGTAGTTGGGTGGTGGTGTTTTTATGTGGTCTAAAGCTGTCCACTGGGTGTGCTGGCTCTGGGACAAGGTCAGTCACTGCCTGTGTTCTATCTGGGGCCACCCAGCATAAGCTACGAAGTGATCTGCCAATGGTTGCTTCTTGTTCTGGGCTTACAGGTGCCCGGGAAAAGCCAAGTTGTGAACAAATGCTGGCTGCTTCTAGTGCCAGACCTGGGGCCCATTAATGAGAGGTATGAGGCTCACTGAGACCAGATGCTGCTTGTGTGAGAGATTTTAGGAAACTCTAAAACAGGATCCAAGACAGGCCAATTCTATGGTAAAGCCTTTGGAAATAGCTTGGGTGGACCTGAATGTTGGGTGAAGTGGGGCCTCAGGGAATTACCAGGGTGGGGTAAACAGTGTGAGTCAGGTTCTGGAGTCCTAGATATGGTGGTCATCTGCTGTCCCATGGAAGGGCTCATCAAAGGAACATCAGCCTCCACCAACACGTCTGTCCAGGAGAAAGCTGCCTCTCCAGCCCTCGTCCCGAGGCCAAACAGCTCAGTTCTTTTCTGTATGTCTCTGGTGCCCCTCAAGCTGCCTCCCCTCTAAGCTTAGAGGGAACAAATCCTAGTAAGTCCATGCATGGGTTCTTTAAGTGCAACTGCCTGAAGCTCCAAAAGCCTCAGCCTCCCTCTGCCTCAGTTCCCTCTGGTTTTTACAGCCAGAAGTTTGGAAACTTTCTGGCACTGGAACCCAGAGCTGTGGGGCCTGATGTAAGATGGGGACCTTTTGCTCATCAGGGAGGACTGTCCCAGCCAAAGTATTCCTCCTGATTTTTATTCACCTCATGTCAGTGTGGGCTCAGCCCATTCACGTTTCTGCCCCTCCTACCTGTCTCAATGTGGCTTTTCCTTTAATTTTTATAGTTGTAGGACTTCCATTCAGCTGGATTTCAGGTGGTACTGAAGGATGTTTTTCTGTAGTTCAGTTGTAACTTTGATGTGGCTGTCAAAGGAAGCAAGTACCACGTTTATCTATGCTGTCATCTTTTAAAAAAATAAATGTTTTTTTTATCCTCACCCGAGGACACTTCTCCATTTTTTGTTCAGATAGAGTGGGAGGGGGAGAGAGGAAGAGAGAGAGAAACATCGACATGAAAGGGACACATCGAGTGGTTGCCACCCACAAGACCCATCCAGGGTCGGGGACAAACTGCAACCAAGGCACGCGCCCGTAGCGGGAACCAAACCTGGTTCTCTCTGGACTGCAGGCTGATACTCTAACCGCTGAGCCAAACCAGCCAGAGCTCTACACTGTCATCTTGACTGGAAGTCTTGGTGGAGTATTTAGGGTTTTCTATGTACAATATCATATCATCTGGGAATAATGACAGTTTCACTTCCTCCTTTTTAATTTGGATCCGTTTTATTTTTCCTTCTTATGTGATTACTGTGACTAAGACTTCTGGTACTATGTTGAAAATGAGTGGCGCAAGTGGACAGCACTGTCTTGTTCCTGTTCTTACAGGAAATGGTTTTAGTTTTTGTCCATTGCATATGATTTTGACTGTAGATGTGTCATCTATGGCCTTTATTATGTTGAGGTATAATCCCTCTTTTTCCACTTTGCTGAGAATTTTTTTAAAAAATGGGTACT